ATCATTGTGACTTTGATTCATGACTTATATTTGCTGGTACAAATAAAATTATCATATTAAACACTATTTCCAAGTGGTCATTCTGATTGAGAATTAAAATATAGCAAAAAATACTCTTTGAAACCACTTCTGCAATAGTGAATTCAATCTAGAGGAAGAGTTAAGTTTGGGAAATCTGTAAACGTAAACTGATTTCAGTCATGGCTTTGTCATTTCTTAGCTATGTGATTTTTACTAATTTTGCCTCCTGTATTTACATCTTCAAAGTGGCAGTAATAATAACAATACCTTTTACTTCCCAGAATCTGTATAAAGATTTTACGAGACAATAGAATCAATCCTTTAAATTGCTATTGAATGTTATATTATCAGTGATGTAAATGTGAACTTCATGAATTACTATAGGAAACTAGAAAGAAATTATTAAACCATTAAAATAACATATTTATATATGATGCCTCATAGAAAATAAAAAGTTAAAACCCTAAAAAAAAATCTATAATTGAGAAAATTGGACACCAAGTTTATCTTGCTTCCTATGTTTCTAAAATACAAACATTTCTCTGCCCCATGGTTAATTTTTTTTATTAAAAGTCAAAGAAATTGATAGTGAAATACATGACTAGAGGGGCAGCTAAAGAAATATTGATAAAAGTTGTCTGTGTTTTATTGGTGCAGAATAAAAGCTTTCTCTTTTCTGACAAAAATTCAATGAGATGATTTCCTTTAGCTCAGAAAAGAGTTGGGGGGAAATTTCATTGTTTTGTATGTTTTTTTCTAACACTGTGAGTTCCCTGTTCCAAGTACCATGTTCTGTAAGATTTAGTGGCCAAGAACACCAAGGCCCTCCTGTCTAGTTGTTTCAGTTTAGTGACAGGCACAGGTAAATAATCCAGCAATTAAGATTCAGTTTTGTGATAGAGACTGAATCTCTATCACAGGGCAGTGTTGAGAACACTGGAAGGGTACTTCACCCACTGTGGAGTCAGAAGAGCATGGAGGTGTGTGGGAAATGATAGGACAGTCTTCTTGGAAAAAGTGAGCAAATAAGCTGACAAACTGAAACCTGAAGGAGGGAAGGGGCTAACCACATGAAGAGTTGAAAGAAGAATGAATATTCCATGTAGGGGAAAAAAGAATGTTAAATGCCTGGAAGAAAATGAGGATAGTATAGGAATCAAAAGTTCTTTGATCTGATTGGATGATGCAATGCAAAGAGATTAAGAAGTAAGGCTGAAGAGAGAGGCAGTGGCCAATAATAAATGGCCTATTAAGCCATATTAAGAAAATTAGATTTTATTTTCAAGGCAATGAGGTTAGTCAGGGTATACTATACTCACATTTGCAATTTAGGACAAAAAAAAATCTGATTGTTGCATTGTAAAGGAATGAGATTGAGGAGAAGTCTAGAGGCAAAGAAACTAGTTGTAATGCTCATGCAGAAATTGTGTTTTGGGGGATGATGGCTGGAAAAGGCTAGTGGGAATAGGGATAGAGAGTAATGAGTGAATTTGAAGATTCATTAGCCATGGAACTTGGAGATCTATTTAATATGGGACAGTAAAGGAGAGAGAGCAGTCAAAGGAGGTAAGTGTCCTTTTTTGCTTGGGCAATTCTTTGCATGATGATACTGTTTAATGAAATAGTAAGCACAAGATGGTGAGTGTTCTATGGGAAGGAAGATTATGACTATGTTGAATCTTGGGTATCTGTGAGGCATATGATAGAAATGTAGAATAGTCAAATAGAAAACTAGGTATAAAGGTCATGAGAAAAATTTGGACTGCAAATACTGATTTGGGAATCATCAAAAATATGACTTATACTTTTGAAACTAGAGAGTAGATGAGATCACTCACTGTGAATGACAGGAAGAAAGAAGACAGTGATCAAACTGTCAGTAATACAAATATTAAAGAACAGGACAAGATAAGCCCAAGAGTCAAACTTGGAAGGCTGGCCAGATGGCTATGTAGAAAAACAGCTGAATCTGGTGACCTAGAAACTAAGAAAAGAATGGAAGAAAGAGGTTGTGGTCAACAAAGTCATATACTTTAGACTCTAAAGTTTAGAGAAAAATAAGATAATGACAAATATTGTTCATTGGATGTAGAAACAACATGGTTTGAACAAATGGGTGAGCTTCCAGAGAGCAGTTTCTTTGGAGGCTGATGAGGGAATCCAGACTGCACTGAAGGCTGGAGTGTGAATGCGAGATGAAGATGTGGTATAGAATAATTTCTTCAAGAAATTTGGATAGAGAGAGGTTGGAAATTTATTAGTAGGAGAGCAACATGGGATTTACAGAGGGATTTTTTTTTTCTAGAGCAAAAGAACCATATCATTTATAAATATTTATGGGAAGAAGGTAGTACAAAGTGTGATAAAGTAGGAAGATAAATAATGGAATGAAACCTGTTGATAGTGACCCAGAAGAAGATGTGATACAATGTCAATATGATTACATTTCTAACTATTCAACAAAAAATACTTTTTGTACCTTCAGTATCTGAGATCCTAGACCTGAGTATATGGTACTTAATTAGAAGAAATAATATAGTTCAGTGGCCAAAATACAGCCCTGTGGTCAATTATTATAGATTTTATTCCCAATTTTAACACTACTTGTCTATGTACCATTAAGCAAGTGATCAACTTGCATGCCATGTAAAATTAAAGTCCTTGGTATGTATTCCAATAATAAAAGAGAGGTAACATGAGAAAATTGAATCATAGGCAATAACTCTGTGAGAGCTTGATCATTGGAGATCTTTTTCTGTTTTGTAAATTGAATGTTTTTATATTAGAGATACAGAGTTTCCATCTCCCCAACTTCACTTTTATTTTTTTAATATCAGAACACATAACTACCACTTGATTAACATGAGCTCTTACACTTGCTATATATAGAGTCTTGTTACAGGCTTTAAATTGTTGATAAAGGCACCAAGGATGACTAAATTCTATTTCATCATAAATTTATATTTTATTGTAATTTTTTAGAGATGCTCAGAAACTTGGCTTACTCAGTTGGGAATTATAAACTGCAAATATTAAACAACAGAACAGTTATTCAGGAGCTCTGAGGTCTAAGCCCAGCCATAGTTCTTGATGGGGTCATCCTTGACAAGCCATTATTCCTCTGTGTGTCTCTTGTTCTTTTCTATAAAATGAGTATAACCTTTTAGGTCCTCATTATAAAACTCTGAAAGAATATACAGTCGGCCCTCGTTTATCGCAGTTAATCATTTCCAGACTCTACCACAATAAATGAATTTCCGTGAAATAGGATTCTTTATACACAGTTGTCCCTCGTCACTTAGCGCTTCGACTTTCTCAGCTTCACTCAATTGCGATTTAAGTGGCAAGGGACAACTGTATTGCAAGTCAGTATATGAATATAAGAAAACAACACTTAACTCCAAAAGATAAAAGGGAAAATAGAAAATCTATAAATAAAAATTACTAAATAATAGGAATCAACTGCATTCTATTTCTGTCATTGGGTTTGGTTTGGAAACACTGGTTTCTACCCAGAGGCTGTATAAGATGTCATTATGAGAAGAGTGTTAAGATAATGAGTTCTCTTCCCACTTTCTCATTGTGACACTGATCTGGTCAGTTGCGCAAGTACTATCAATGTCTCCTAACAGGGATCTGTGGGGATTATATGTTTGTCAGGCAGCCGCCTCTGCAAGCAGAAAGTGTCCCTGTTTCATTTGTCACTACACAGAGTTCCTAATGGGCAGGAAAAGTGAGAAGATTTTTGAACTTCTTCATGCTCTCTTGCCCTTCTCCCTCTCTTCAAGATACCTTTTCAGGGACAGCAAAAGCCACTAAGAGTTAAAAAGGAAAAACACAGTCAAACCATAAACTCTGCTATTTGTAATCAGTGCATAACCTCTGTGATGAAATTTGTGAGTAATTCACTTTCCACTTGAGCCTACCAGTGTGAGATCTAATGCGGCCGCCCTGAACACTAATGAAGGAAGTCAGACGGCAGTACAGCTAGCCCTTGGGGACTCATTTCTCACATCACCAAAAAGTAATTTTCGTCATTTTCAGCCATCTGGTAGCCTGGATTGTGAAGATGAAGTTTTGTTCAAGTAGTGTAAGAGCATGGGCCCTAGGGTCTGCCTAGAGTCAAATCAATGTTCTGCTTCTCACCCAGACCCCTCTCTACCTCAGTTTCCTACCTATAAATAAAATTCTCATGGGATATTATTTCCTTATTACAAGGAGTTATTTAGATAATATTTGCAAAGCACACTACATAGAGTCTTATGTATAATAAGTCATTAAAGTTAGCTATTATTAAATTGATAGTAGGAATGGTGATAATAGTGATTAGGAGTAATAGTAATTTTTTTTTTGTAATGTCTTCCTATCTGTGACATAGGCCTTATTAATTCAATTTTTAAGCTCTAGGGTACATTATCTGGCCCACCACACACCAAAATATTTTTTAGGGACTTTCTATTTTAGTGATTAACTAATGGTTTCCTCATGTGGCTAGATTATAAGTAGCCAGGTTTTACTACATCGTAATAACATGACTATGCAAGCTTATACTAAATAATGCTTCTTCCTGACAATTAAAGGAGAGATTGGATCATATTCATTTTATATACATCAGAAAGTAAATGTAGGTAACAGTAATAAGAAAAGTTTATTCTTAATATGTATAAATATCCATGATCTCTAATATCCAAAAAAGGTCACTGTAGTCAGAAAAGAACTAGACATTTTCATTGTGCTATTCTGTGTACCTCCTATAGCACTTGGCGATAGTGGAAAGAGTCTCACTTGATAGTAAGACTCGTGCTTTTTTATTTGCTATCTAAGTCTCTAAAGAGATCCTAAAACACCCTGGCTTCTTAACCCCAAAATTTAGAGGTTTAAAGTTATAAGACCACTTAGCTCAATTTTGCCACTTCCAGTTGCTACAAACCTGTTTTCACTGACATAGTTACACATTCCATTTGCTTTTGTCTTTACAGTTCCACCAAAGATCTCCAACATCTCCTCGGATGTCACTGTGAATGAGGGCAGCAATGTGACCCTGGTGTGCATGGCCAATGGCCGTCCTGAACCCGTTATCACCTGGAGACACCTTACACCAACTGGTAAGCAACCTTCCAGTCTCCAAAATGCCACGCACTATTTAAGAGATCCTCATTCTTCTGAAATTCCATTCGATCTCAAAAGCAAGCATGTATCTTGTTATTACAACACTAACAGAATTGTGACATAGAAGTTATTTAGGGTCCTCCCTGGTCTTTGTTAATGTGTTCATCTCTAAAAAGTTTACAACCATGGTACAAATATATATATTTTTAATTTCATTTTCAATAGAACACTCTCCCAAGGAAACAAATATAAAAGCATTAAATGCCTTAAATGACTTCATAGTATGTCTAAAATGTATGCCAGTTTGGTGCTTGAGCATTTTGGGTCAATGTTTTGTATGGATTAAATTTACATACTTCTTGGTGTATTTTTTATTTTTCTTTGCTTTTAACTATAGTTTCCTAGTATGCAGCACCTTGTAAAGAAATTTTTCAGGAATAATACAAAATTGTGACTTCTAATGCCCTGTCTTTGTCATCTGGCATGGACTAAGCTGCGTGAGCTCCTATTGATGCTAATTCAGTAAAAGTTGGACATGTTTTTTTTTGTTTTTTTTTAACCAGGAATGTCTTCTGCATTCTCCCCTCCTCTTTCCCACCTCTTCACCATAACTGGGCTCTGAGGTCCTGCTGCTTTTTGAATTTTATTTAAATGTTTTACCAAATTATTGAGGATTCACTGTATGCATACTCTACAAATTATATTTTCTTGTATGCAAAACCATGCCTTTGCAAATGACAGTCTTTGTAGCATAAAGCCTGCTGTTTACTTTTTCTAGAAAGAGGAAGTATGGATCAATTAGTCTTATAAAATGGCATTTCTTTTAGTAGATAGCCCCCAACTTTTAACTTACATTCTTTTAAAGTTTCTTTATATAAGTATCTAGAGACTTAATTTACAACAATTTTTATGTTGGAATGAACACCATGAAAAGTTGTTGTGCAAAGATAGACATAAAAGGAAAGCTATAGCGTCTTTAAAAAAAACCTTTGTATTTTGTGGTGAGACTATTGGTCTTTGTTTTTTGTTGGCTCTCAAATAAAATTACCAAGTAAAGTCTGGACCAATCTATGAAATGTTTTTTTTGTTTTTTGTTTTTTTTTTATTTAGGCAGACATTCTTATTAGAGGCTTCCACTTTCTTGAGAAAAATGTTACTCAGTACCCATCCTTGCTGTTAATGCATGCAATCTGTCATTTATTTATAATAGATAAAAACAATAAATGAAGCACTTATTTGAGAGATCAAGCTCATTTCCTCTCAGACCCATTTTATACCCTCACATGCGGAAAAATACGTGTGGAGGGTAATATAAAGTGTGAACCTTTGGGTATCATCCACCTTTCCCCTGGATTAAATTAAACCACCAGAGCCCTGGCCGGTTTGGCTCAGTGGTGAGAGCGTTGGCCTGTGGCCTGGAGAGACCCGGGTTCGGTTCCCGCTAAGGGCACATGCCTCAGTTGCAGTTTGTCCCCGGCCCTGGTTGGGTCGTGTAGGTGGCGACCACTCAATGTGTCCCTTTTACATCGATGTTTCTCTCTCTCTCTCTCCCTCCCACTCTATCTGAACAAAATATCAAAAAATGTCCTCGAGTGAGGATAAAAAATAAATGAATTAATTAATTAATTAAACCACCCAAGCATGTTCTTCTTGGATATACCATTCCCCAAACTCACACCACCTACCCCTGTCCCAAGTTGAATTGTTTTTACCCAGTGACAATTTGGTATGAAAGCTATTGGCCCACATTTAAAGACGCCATAAAAGATCTCTAAAATGATTACATTTGTTGTAAAGTTTTTGAGAGATTGTTAATTTATTACATAGTTTCCTTTTCAAGGACCCTTTGAGGAAATTCCTCTTTGTTTTTATTATTTCCACAGGCCTTTTTCTAAGCAATGTTGTTCTTTTTATTTTTTTTAACAAATGAACCCAGGAAACTTTTATAAATGATGAGTCCTTCATTGTATTGACTGTTACTCAACGTTGAGCCAAATTTATGGCCCATGTGTAAAAGAATATAGGAAATCATATATAAATCACATATTAACAATATGGATTTTAAACAAAATAGATGAGATTTTATGGCATTCCATCTTTGCTTTCTTCTTGTATTTTTATCATTATTTTCATATTGACTTTCTATAATTAATTTACAAGTGTATGTAAAATATACTATTTATAATATCTTAATTTCTGTGAAAAAAAGTTGTAAGGAAGATAAATTTATAATCAAGGAGTGAATTGCATTAATAAAAATAGTTTATTTTATTTGGTACATTATTGCCTAGTAAATGTTTTTTCTAAGGCAAAGATGCTATTGGCAACCTGAACCTAAGGATTTATTCTTTTTTACCCTTTGAATTCAGAAAAATAATTAGTTAGAACCAGAGTTTCAAGGCCTTCCCAGGCTTGGTCTTAGGAGTTTAGATCTTCATGGCTAACTCTAGTAAACTTTTAAATAATAACGAACATGTGATTTGAACCCTGAATAACCTGGTTATTCATGATGTTCAAGTCAACAGAGGTCATAGATCAGACCAGATCTTCCACAGGAAAGGCAGCAGTTACATATACTCAGAGAACCCTCAAAATCAGCTAGAAAAACAGGTGTCTTCACAGAGGTTTCCAAAAGGCAGGCCAGGCGTCAGCAAACTGTAGTCCCTGGGCCAGATTCAGCCTGTTCCACTTTGGTACAGCCTGCAGTCTAAGAATGGTTTTTAAATGGAGAAAAATTCAAAAGAAGAATTCCATTTTTGTCATGCAAAAACAAACAAACAAAAAATGACATTCAAATTTCAGTGAGCATAAGTAAAGTTTTATTGAAATACAGCCATGCTTACTCTTTTATATATTGTCTATGGCTATTTTTGCTCTAAAGCAGCAGAGTTGAATAGTTCAACAAAGGTGGCTTAGCCCCAAAGCCTAGAATATTCTGTATCTGGTCTTTTGCAATATAGTTTACAGACAGACCCCTGTTCAAGATTGGCTTGGAGCACAGGACAAGGATTTTCTGCACTCATCTTTGATCCCATAGGGCTTCGGCTATATCATTCATTTAGTTCCTGAGGACACCTCAAGGGAAAGAACTTTATTCTTCTATAATTCTCTATGTAGGCCCTCTCTGTGGGTCAAATTCTATTCTGGCACATGCAAAACTAGCTCTCTGCTGCATTCACAGACTCAAGGGCAAACTCCAATTCTCTCTTACAACAGGTATTAATTCCCCAGCCCGCTCTTTCATCTCTTTCACATCTGACCTAAATAACCATCTGTCTGATCATAATCATATTCCTGGTGATAGGAGAAAGAATTTGCCTTTACTATCCTATAAAGGGAACTAAGATTTTTATGGGTTTTTTGTTTGTTTGTTTGTTTCAATGGGTTATTTTCCTTTTTTTCTTTCTTTAAATTGAAAATAAGATGATACTTTTCAGCCTATAATGCAAAAGCCTTTCTTGGAGACACCCAAAGAAGAGGCTGTGCTCCCTGTGTGACAGCAAGGCTACCTGCAACCCATGGTCACGTGAGCAAAAAAACCCAGCTAGCTTTGTTCAATTATTAATTGTGCCTTCCACAGTACAGAGTGTGACTGCCTTGCAGAGGAAATGTACCTGTAATTAGCTCAACCCCACGGGGACATTGAGCCCTGAGAAGGGAAAGATTCCATGCAGGGTTCACAAGTACCTGATTACCTGTCATTTGATGACACAGAGGGACAAAGGAAAGAGGGGCAAGATATATTTTTATGTGTAGAATATTGATTACCTCTTAATTCAGTTCTTTTCTAAAATTTTAGGTTGGGCTATTTTGTTTCTCTTTCTGTTGACAGCTAAAATTTCTTTTTCAAGAATACTACTCATGTTTTTAAAGCAGAAAATCAGACGAATGGTGAATCTTTCATATATATATAAAATCACAATCAAAACATATACCTGTCTTAGATGGAGGAGAGAGGTTGATGCATTCTGTGGTTGTCTTTCCTATACTTCTGATTTCTTCATTTTCCTCTCCTCTTCAGATAGATTTCTATATAGTCAAAACGATGTGTCACGTATGTGGTTGTTAAATGTGACCTATTTTTTTCCTTAATTAAGTTAGACTTTTATAATCCTGTAACTCCCGGAGGGCAATTGCACTGTAGCATGTATTTTCTATGGAGTGTTTGATCTCTCTTCTGTGAGCCATGCTACTCCCATCTTCATTTAACTTTGTTTCTAAATCTTTCTTCTCACAATCCAGAGGAAGTCCCTGTCTCAAGTGAGCCTCATGTGGTGTCAAGATTGCTCAGGGTTACAGAACGTTTTCATGCATTTCATTTTTACCTCAATAGCTTTTTATACCTGGGTTAAAAAAAAAAAAAAAAGAAGCACATTGCTGCCCTGGCCAGTGTGACTTAGTTGGTTGGAGCATCACCCCATATACCCAAGGGTTGCAGGTTCCATTCTTGGAGTAGAAAAAAAAAAGCACACTGCTGATGTTAGCCCTAAACTGAGAGCAACTTAGTCAGTGCTATACAATTCTCTGTCCAAGCCTGAAGCCATATCTGACATCAACACAAAGTACAGAAATCTCACTTAAGAAATGTTTCATATTTGATGAGGTGGGTGGGAAAACATTGTGCTGGAAGGAGCCAAGAAGGACTCTGGAGAGTCTGAAATCCCATTTCTCATTGGATGTTGGGTTTTAATCACTTGGCTGGACATTTCTTTTTAATTCATTTCCAAGTTTGAATCCTTGCCTGACTGTACTCTTAAACTCCATTAATGCTTTAACCCCATCTGTCTTCTAGTCTTATAACTCATCCAGTTATTATTATTTTGAGCCTAGACTCTGCCCTCATAGGCTTAAGAGAAATATATAATGATAAAATAAACTCATCTATTTTAGTTGAATTCCAGAAGTACATATTAAAAGTAACTATCATCAGCTCTTTTTAGTTAGCATGTTAGAATTACTATGACTTCACACTTCCCATAGAAAGTATATGATCTAC